CAGCCATTTTTAACAGGAAGGGGGCGGGGTTGTCCAACCATATGTCCCCGTTCAAATTACAGGCGCGTAGCTATGTTTACGTCAAAACACCCGGGCGTACAAATGAATTTTGGAGAAAAAATATTTTAATCTAAATAAATTAAAAGATCTGGCCAAAAGCACATGAGCCTTGTAGTTCTTTCTCCACTGACTTGTAATTGAAGATAACAGTCGGAAGAAATTTACTTTTTAATCAAATTGTGTCATATTATTTATTTGTTCGTTTTCTGTCAAAATCTGAATCAACTGTGAATTATCCTCCCTTTCCTATAGTTTAAAGCAATTCATTATCTGCTGAGATACGATATGCAGTTTTGTCGAGCCTGCGAGACATTCCGTAATCGGCGTTGGCGTCGTCAATATTTATGTTCAGCCTGTGGTTAAATTTTTTTTAAAACATCAATGAATTTGTAAAAACTTTATGAAATTTTACAGAATATAGGCAGAATTTTTTTTATTTTTATGATCAAAAGAGTATCCAGAGCATAATTATGAAAATTTACTTTTAATTTTTCCGCATTTTACTGAAAAGAACATTGTTTTTATTAGTTAACAAGTAGATACTGTTTGTTACGCATCAATTACTTTGTCAAAACTTCATCGAATTTTATGTAAAATGTTAACACCAACTGTACGAATTTTTTTTTTTGCACCAGATGCGCATTTCGACAATGAATGTCTCATCAGTGATGTTCGAGGCCGAAATATTTGAAAATCCAAAACCTAATAAAAACATTGGAAGAGCTGATCAAAATAAAACGTACCTAAAGTATAGCCAATTCCGGACAAAGAATCAGAGCTTTGCATGGGGGAGATATATTCCTTTATTTTTAAATGATTTCAAAACTTTAACAACAGTCAGCAAATTTCAGTCTAAATTATTTTTTTTTCATTTTTCAGTATTTTACCATTTTTTTAGGGGGGGGGGCAATTAGCAGACGGTCTTGAATTAAATATTTTTCGCCTGCTACATTTGTAAACTTTCATAGATTGTTATGAAACTTAAACAGAAGCTTATCTTCCAGATCAAGAAAAACATTTAAAGAAAAAGTTTGATTTCTTTTAAATCCTGTATTTGACTGATAAATGGATTCACTTTTTATAGTTTAACCGACAGCAGCAATCCCAGGCGGCGAAACACAGGATTCCACGGAACCCTTTGAGTATGTTTATATTACACATAACCATCTATGAGAATTTATTATTGCATGTACTTGTCCATTAACGAAATTTGCGCATAAAAGGGGAGAAAACTAGATTAAGTCATAATAATCAAAAGAACGACACCATTGAAAATGTAGACTTGCTTTTTTAATATTTCGAAAGGTTTGGATCTTCGGTCGATTGATTGTTTTACCCCACATCTCCTTTTAAACATATTTCATAGTAACAACTATTGGCCATTAGATTCCAAATCAACACACTGAATAAATTATACATGAAAAAATCAAGAAATTAGACTTTAAAGTATGTTGCTATTGATGAGTTTTAATGACAGAAATAGTATCTCTCTCAATAAATCGTTAGCTTCCGTCGGACCCCTGCTGGGAGGTCCCTTGCCCTGTACCCGCTGGGGACCCTCAAACCCTTCGCCGAGGTTCGGGCGTACACTTAAAAATGGCTTAGCTACGCCACTGCAAAAGCATTAATCGTAAAAAAAAGCGGGTTCTAACCCTTGACCCCCCCCCCCCCTCTTTTATGGGGATCCGCCACTGAGGTTATTCTTATTATTTGGCAAAATGGCAAAATGGAAATGGATGTTACACGAACCAGTAGTTTTCTTGACGTCCAAAATATTTGAAAACTTCAATTTTAGTAATTCATTCGACCACCCCACCTTTTTCTGAATGACTGGAAACGTAATGGATGAGGTGCGAGTTTTTTTTTTCTTAGGAATATTCGGACACTGTAAATGAATTAGGAGGATTTTGTAAGAATTTTTTTTTTTTCATTTCTAGAAGTGAATATATTTACCAAGCTAAGGCAAACAGACAAGAAAGTTACTCAAGTAAAAACTAACACTATTATGATTCTAATAGAATAAACAAAAGAGTGTAAGAAAACAACGAAACTGCATGTGACCATCACAGAATTGCATACTAAATAGACTACAAGAAAACGACGATTGATGACTTCAAATAGTACCGGTTAACAAAATTAATCAAAACAAGATAAGTAAAAATCTTATTTAAAGTCGGTAACATACATGATAAAATAACATATGGCTATTATTGGCTTTAAAACCGACATTAAATTATATAAAACACGTATGCAATAAAACAATATAATACCTTCAAACTTTAGCTCATAAATATATAAACATGGCAATTAATGCGATAATATTATTAATATAAAAACGATTAAGTCTTTCTGACTCTGCTAGTTAGTGCGTGTAATAGAACCCTCTTTCTGAGACAGTCGTATCATTCGATTTTATATTAAACAAAGGTGAAAGATACCAAAGGGAAACTCAAACTCGCAAGTCCAGTTTGGCGAGTTGGCAAATTGTTAAAAGTTAGTGCCCTATAGCTGGTAAAATCTATCATAAACACAATTTATTTTACTGAGATAGGGAACCAGTATATCCCATTTTTTTCTTCTCGGGAGCCCAAGATTGGCCGTACACAATCGTTAGAATAAGACTCGGCGTAAATTATGGATATTCGTGTAATAGGTTTTTTTTAAGTAGTTGATATATATCGTTAAAAGTTGCAAAGGAATACAATACAACCTTTTTAATTATTAAATATTTATTACGTAACCAGAACAAAACTAAAATCAATAAAACTTTGATTTATCTGATACTTATTATGAAAAATATATAACACGTGCTTTGTCGCATGAGATTTTGTTTGTTTGGTCTGGCAAACAGTCATATCTTTTATGTAAAACCATAAAGTCCCATTTTGGATGTGTAGTCTAACAAACAAAAGAACACTTAAGTGAAGATATTCAATCTTAGTATTGATTTATCTAGGACATGTAGAAAAATCCGTCCGATTGGAACAAATCTTAACTTGTTTTATTTAGTAGCTTTATGCATATCAGCCCACTTATTTATTATCACTTTATGCTTAGTCACAGAAATTTGTTTTAAAAATAGTATTTGGGGTTGATTTTGCAATGAAAATTTAAATGAATTTGTTATTAATGATAATTGACATGTTGCAGTAATAACATTGACTGTCTTTTTAAAACTTACCATTCTCTGTGGTAAAAATCGTTAAATTATCTGTTGTTAAATTCTAGAATTAATATGAGAATAAGGTCCCAACTCCCTGAAACGAAGTTGACCTTAGATGATCTAAGATGTATATTTTTGGTTCCTTTTGTGATAAAGCTCCTCACCTATTCAAACATTTATAATCCTTTATAGTGCGGTGACGGAATAGGAAAAAGTCGAATATTAGAAGAGTTTAATTTCACTTCATAATACACGGCTAAAAATTTGCACAGTCCTAGAAAAATGATTTTACTTGAATTTAAGATTGGTCGTCAAATAGTCGTATGGTGCAGTTTTTTTTTTATTTTAGCGTTTAGCTAGCAAATTTGACTTCAAATGCAGATCATGAGTGTCATACAGTTTGGCTTTTTATTCAAAGGCTGCATTCAAATATATGTCTTTTTTTGATTTTTTTCAAACAAAACACCTAATGCTTTATTCATTATGTGAAAAAGATAATCGTTAAAGCCTTTTGATAACAAATTATGAAGGTACAAATTACTGTAAACGGGGACATTTTGTCTTGCATCGTATTCCAATATCATACAATAAAGCACTAACGAATGAATTATATCGTAACTACTAAAAATTAACAAAACTGCAATTTTTCTTTTCATAAATCACAAGTTTTTATAAGGTAAGATTTTTTAGAACGATATTTTTTAACTTTCAAACATTTCTACCATTCAATCATTATCTTTAAAAAAAATCCGGAAAGTTGTGCCCCGTCCCTGATTGGGCTGAATACATAGTTTTCCTCCAAAATTAAGGACTTGATATTACTTGTTTATGTCGATGTTTTATTGTTTCGTTGATTTATTTGGGTGTCTGTAATATATTTTTGAGGTTGTGTTGATATACTCCAGTCGACTTATAAGATAGTTTTATATAATCTGCATCTCTTGTGCTGTATTTTAAAATGTATTACAATTGCTGCATCTTTACACATTCATCAATAACCAAAAAATAAGAATAAAGCTTTCGTATATATAAAATAAGGAGATGTGGTACGATTGGTAATGAAACAACTATCCGCCAGTTCAATTCAAAACCTGATATAAGCAAATGTGGCTTACTTACTTACTTTAGTCAGAGAAATCTTGGATCTGAATTCAAGGATACGAAGTGGGAAGGGTTTAGAGGTGGATTAAGGTGAGGGCATGGGGACCCGCCCCTTTTTTGGAAAAAAAAATGGTTGATTATTTAGAGAATCACTGAAGCGGGCCCCCTCTTTATGCATGACAGTTAGTGCCTCCTTATGACATTTTTTGGGTCCGAAACTGGTGAGTAAGTTTTTGTTTTGTGATAAATAATGTATTTACATTCACATAGACAGAAATTGGATAAAATAAACTACCGAAAGCTTAAGTCCACATAAGAGGGTATGGATGGGAGTTAACAGAATAGAGAATAGAGAATAACGGGCAAACAATAAAGATTAAAGAATAATGAAATGCTAAAATATGAGGATATGTAAGTTTGTAGAAATATAGCAAAAAAAAATAAAGAACACAGAAAAAGAAGACCCCCCAAGATCCTGACTTCAACTTTAACGCTGCCGGGATATTTTGAGACAAAGTGCACGTATTAGTAGTCAGCCGAAACCACTAAGCGTTTTGCATCCATACGTTTTTTTTCGGGATACTGACTGCATAGTAAATTATCAATGTACTAGTTAATGTTCTCGAGGGATGACCCTATTACAAAGACATATATACACATATGTGTATTTATATGTCTCTGCCCTATTACGTGTCAGTAACCTCCTCGACACGGTTCATTTTTACGGCGGCTCAGTTTTGTCTTAAGAATAAACATAATTGATAAGTTTCTTTCCCCTGCATTCCTCGATCGCACTTGTAAATAGCACATTGGTCTCAAGACATTGGTACAACACTTGCCGTCAGTACTCAAAATTGGAAAAATATTAAATAAGAAGGTATAGAAAATTAATGCACACACACTATTATCAACCACAGACATGATGTTTTTCCGGGCCCCCCTTTCTTGGGAAAAATTTGGTTGATTATATAGGGATCACTGAAGCATGACTGGAGCCGGCCCTTCCTTATGAAAAGTTCTGGATCCGTCACTGTATATTCATAACATAAACCAACAAATGATCCAAAAGATGAATAATACTTAATAATTACGACTAAGATTGATTATAAGTATACTTACCGTACTGTGACCTATAATGGTTTACTTTTATAAAATTTTTACTTGGATGGAGAGTTGTCTCATTGGAACTCATACCACATCTTCTTATATCTATTGAGTCGGTTTTACAAAAAAAAAACTTGCAAGTAATCGTAAGTATACTGTATTCTACATGACTTAATTACTATCAATATTATTTGTAAGTTCTTTTGTGAAACTGACTGCTGAATTGTTTTTCCATGCTTATGGTACATCTAAGTTGTATGCTTTTTTTAAAACCACCTCCAGGGTATAATGTTTGCTCGCCCATAGAATCTGTTTGTAGATATAGGAAGATGTGGTATGAGTGCCAATGAGACAACTCACCATCCAAGTCACAATTTATAAAAGTAAACCATTATAGGTCAAGGTACGGTCTTCAACACAGAGCCTAGTTTTTATCAAAAATGAAATATATTGATATTAATAGTATATAGGTTAAATAATTTATTCATACATTTTTAATTGACTAGAATTATCATGATTATTGAGGAATTTAAACCATTCTTATTTTTAAAAAGGAACAAAAATAAAATTTATATATAATAACAGGGTGATACAAATGAGAAAAACTCAAGAAATTGTTTTCAATTAAGATAAATACATGCAGTTAATAATGGTTTTCAGTTGTTTTTTAAAGCAGAGGCAGATTTAGTTTAAAGTTGGAAAAAATTGTTTGTACCAACAAAAATAAATACATGAAGTTAATCCAGAATTATGTGTTTATCATTTTTTTTTTATGTTTAGGTTGCCAGCAAGATGAAAAGAACAATGCAGTTCAAAAGTCAAAATGTGGATAAGCTGTGGTACAAGGTCCTACTTTTGCAGATTTTCATATTTTGCATGAATGAATTTGAAGTTTATATCATGGAGGGCAGAGAAAGAAAAGAAACACTTCAATTTTCCTGCTTCTGAAGGATAAATGTAAAACATCTTGTTCGGTAGGTTTTATGCTCTGTTTTGATAGTGTTTGTGCATCCATCTGTCTTTCTCTAAATTGTATTCACTTAAAGTTTTTGGTTACAGTTCACCATGAATTTCAGTTAGTAACTTGTGGTTTTACATGTATATACTCAAAATTTAGTACTTTAAAATGTTCATGTATTTTTGTCGAGCCTGCAACTTTTGTCACAGAAAGCTCGACATAGGGATAGTGATCCGGTGGTGGCTACGGCGGTGGTGTTAGCTAACTTCCTAAAAGCTTTATATTTTAGAAGGTGGAAGACCTGGATGCTTCATACTTTGTATATAGATGCCTCATGATACGAATTCGGTCTGAAACATGTCCATTGTCCTTGACCTCATTTTCATGGTTCAGTGACTACTTGAAAAAAAGTTCAGATTTTTTGTAATGTTAATTTCTCTCATATTATGAGTAATAGGATAACTATATTTGGTATGTGCGTACCTTGCAAGGTCCTCATGCTCGTCAGAGAGTTTTCACTTGACCTTGACCTCATTTCATGGATCAGTGAAGAAGAACTTAGTCTTAGATGCATAATTTTTTTTATTAGTTGTTAGTGGCTTTGTACTAGCTGTCAGTAACTGCTAGTACTCTCAGATCTGTACTTAGTGTCTTTTTGTTGTTTGGATGTACAAGTACCCGGCCATGTCCACTTGTATTTGTAGTATTTGTATTTTTATCCATCTGATGAGTTAAGCCTCTTTCAACTAATTTTTACGACCGCAAAAAAATTTTGCAGTCGTATATTGGAGGTATAGGGGGAGGGTTGAGATCTCATAAACATGTTTAACCCCGCCGCATTTTTGCGCCTGTCCCAAGTCAGCAGCCTCTAGCCTTTGTTAGTCTTGTATTATTTTTAATTTTAGTTTCTTGTGTGCAATTTGGAGTTTAGTATGGCGTTCATTATCACTGAACTAGTATATATATTTGTTTAGGGGCCACCCGAAGGACGCCTCCGGGTGCGGGAATTTCTCGCTGCATTGAAGACCTGTTGGTGACCTTCTGCTGTTGTCTGTTCTGTGGTCGGGTTGTTGTCTCTTTGACACATTCCCCATTTCCATTCTCAATTTTATGATATTGGCGTCGTCGTCTGAAGACACATTGGTTTTCGCACTCTAACTTTAGTTTAAGTGAATGGATCTCTATGAAATTTTACCATAAGGTTCAATACCACAAAAGGAAGGTGGGGATTGATTTTGGGGGTTATGGTACCAACAGTTAAGGAATTAGGGGCCAAAAATAAGCATTTTTGTAACTTCCAGACATAACTTGTGTGTTAGTGTATGGATCTCTCTGACATTGTACCACAAGGTCCCATATCACAAAGGGAATGCTGGAATTGATTTTGGGGGTAATTGCCTCACAATTTTAGGAATTAGGGGCCAAAAAGTGGCAAAAAACAAGCATTTTTCTAGTTTCATGACAATAACTTATGTGTAAGTGTATGGATCTCTCTGACATTGTACCACGAGGTTTCATATCACAAAGGGAACGCTGGGATTGATTTTGGGGGTAATTGCTTCCAAATTTGAGGAATTAGGGGTCAAAAAGGGGCAAAAAACAAGCATTTTTCTAGTTTCATGACAATAACTTGTGTTCAAGTGTATGAATCTTTATGAAATTGTACTACAAGGTTCCATATCACAAAGGGAAAGCTGGAATTGAGTTTGGGGGTAATTGCCCAAAACGTTTAGGAATAAGGGGCCAAAAAGGGGCCAAAAATAAGCATTTTTCTAGTTTCCAGACAATAACTTGTGTTCAAGTGTATGGATCTCTCTGAAATTGTACTGCAAGGTACCATACCACAAAGGGAATGCTGGGATTGATTTTGGGGGTAATTCCCTCAAAATTTAGGAATAAGGGGCCATAAAGGGGCAAAAAAACAAGCATTTTTCTAGTTTCAGGACAATAACTTGTGTGTAAGTGTATGGATCTTTATGAAATTGTACTGCAAGGTTCCATATCACAAAGGGAAAGCTGGGTTTGAGTTTGGGGGTGATTTTGCTAAATGGTTTGGAATTTGGGGCCAAAAAGGGGCCAAAAAACAAGCATTTTTCTAGTTTCCAGACAATAACTTGTGTTCAAGTGTATGGATCTCTCTGAAATTGTACTGCAAGGTACCATACCACAAAGGGAAGGCTTGGATTGATTTTGGGGGTAATTGACTCCAAATTTTAGGAATTAGGGGCCTTAAAGGGGCAAAAAAACAAGCATTTTTCTGGTTTCAGGACAATAACTTGTGTTTTTAAGTGTATGGATCTTTATGAAATTGTACTGCAAGGTTCCATATCACAAAAGGAAAGCTGGGTTTGAGTTTGGGGGTAATTTTCCTAAACGTTTTGGAATTTGGGGCCAAAAAGGGGACAAGAAACAAGCATTTTTCTAGTTTCCAGACAATAACTTGTGTTCAAGTGTATGGATCTCTCTGAAATTGTACTGCAAGGTACCATACCACAAAGGGAAGGCTGGGATTGAGTTTGGGGGTGATGAATCATAAGGGGGTTCAAAAAATTTTGGGGGGGGATTTTTTTTCCTTTTTTTTCTTTAAAATTTTCCATTTTAAATTGGTTATTTCTGATTTATATATAAAAGCAAATAATAATGATATGGTTTGAATAGGTAAATTAAATTTTTTTAAGTTCTTAGACCACATTCATTCTGTGTCAGAAACCTATGCTTTGTCAAATATTTAATTACAATCCAAATTCAGTGCTGTATCAAGCTTGAATGTTGTGTCTATACTTGCCCCAACTGTTCAGGGTTCGACCTCTGCGGTCGTATCAAGCTGAGCCCCAGCGGAGCATTTTATTATAGTTCGTTCTTATGTTATACTGTTTCACCACTGTCCCAGGTTAGGGGGAGGGTTGGGATCCCGCTAACATGTTTAACCCCGCCACATTCTGTATGTATGTGCCTGTCCTAAGTCAGGAGCCTGTAATTCAGTGGTTGTCATTTGTTTATGTGTTACATATTTGTTTTTCGTTCATTTTTTGTACATAAATTAGGCCGTTAGTTTTTTGTTTGAATTGTTTTACATTGTCATTTCAGGGCCTTTTATAGCTGACTGTGCGGTATGGGCTTTGCTCATTGTTGAAGGCAGTACGGTGACCTATAGTTGTTAATTTCTGTGTCATTTGGTCTCTTGTGGGGAGTTGTTGTCTCATTGGCAATCATATCACATCTTCTTTTTATACGACCGCAAAAAAATTTTGTGGTCGTATATTGGTATGACGTTGGCGTCGTCGTCGTCGTCGTTGTCCGGCGTCGTCGTCCGAATACATATTGGTTTTCGCACTCTAACTTTAGTTTAAGTGAATGGATCTTTTTGAAATTTGACCATAAGGTTAAATACCACAAAAGGAAGGTTGGGATTGATTTTGGGGGTTATGGTACCAACAGTTAAGGAATTAGGGGCCAAAAAGGGGCCAAAAATGAGCATTTTCTAGTTTCCAGACAATAACTGTGGAACGGTGCATGGATCTCTCTGAAATTATACTACAAGTTTCCATACCACAAAGGGATGGTTAGGATTTGCTTTGGGGGGTTATGGCTCAAACCGTTTAGGAATTAGGGGCAAAAAAGGGGGAAAAACAAGGTTGTCCTGGTTAATGGACAAATACTTTAGTACAAAACATAATTTAAAGCAGTGTAAGGGAGATAAATCAAATACATCATTGAAATTATCTCCCTTACACTGCTTTTAAATTATGTATAAAGTAATGGTTAATGAACAATAAAGATAATCTAAAACAGTGTAAGGGAGGTAATCCAAATACAACGTTTTGGTTACTTCCCTTACACTGCTTTTAAATTATGTTTAAAGAAATGCATATTTATAAAGGAAGACCAGTAAACATCTTTTTTTTTTACAAAAAAATCCATATGAAAGATTTGACACTATATTTTTATTAATTCTATTATAAAATAGATTAAGTTAGCACTATGGTAAATTTAAATGGGTAATTATGGTTGCCAACTCCATTGGAAATTTGAATTGAGATTATGACCATATCTTGAGGGAAAGAATTTTTTTGGGGAAAAAAGGGGGGGGGATAAAAAGAAATTGTGGGGGGCCAATTTTTTCTCATTTCAGATTTCAGAAATTAAAAAGAATTATTCTTCAAATATTATTTTTTTTTCAAATTTCAAATATTGAAAAATTTCAAGAAGTAATCTTTAATTGCACAGTATGGCGCATTAGATTTGTAAAATCTTTGATCACATTTATTTATTTGTTATGCCGAATCTAACAGTGTATTTAGATTTTTAATTTTGGGTCCAGTTTTCAAATTGGTCTACATTAATGTCCAAAGGGTCCAAAATTAAACTTTGTTTGATTTTAGCAAAAATTGAATATATGAGGTTCTTTGATATGCTGAATCTAAACATGTATTTAGATTTTTGATTTTTGGCCCAGTTTTCAAGTTGGTCCAAATTGGGGTCCAAAATTAAACTTTGTTTGATTTCAACAAAAATTGAATATATGGGGTTCTTTGATATGCTGAATCTAACCATGTATTTAGATTTTTTATTTGTGGACCCCGTTATCTAATTGGTTCATATTGAGGTCAAAAGGGTCCAAAATTAAAGTTTGTTTGATTTCATCTAAAATTGAATTATTGGGGTTCTTTGATATTCCAAATCTAACCGTGTATTTAGGTTTTTAATTTTGGGTCCTGTTTTTTAAATTGGTCTACATTGAGGTCCAAAGGGTCCAAAATTAAACTTAGTTTGATTTTAACAAAAATTGAATTCTTGGGGTTCTTTGATTTGCTGAATCTAAACATGTGTTTAGATTTTTGATTATGGGCCCAGTTTTCAAGTTGGTCCAAGATAGGGTCCAGTATTTAAACTTTGTTTGATTTCAACAAAAATTGAATATATGGGGTTCTTTGATATGCTGAATCTAAACATGTATTTAGATTTTTGATTATGGGCCCAGTTTTCAAGTTGGTCCAAATTGGGGTCCAAAATTAAACTTTGTTTGATTTCAACAAAAATTGAATATATGAGGTTCTTTGATATGCTGAATCTAACCATGTATTTAGATTTTTTATTTGGAGGCCCCGCTATCAAATTGGTTCATATTGAGGTCAAAAAGGTCCAAAATTAAACTTTGTTTGATTTCATCGAAAATTGAATTATTGGGGTTCTTTGATATGCCAAATCTAACCGTGTTTCTAGATTTTTAATTTGGGTCCCGTTTTTTAAATTGGTCTTCATTGAGGTCCAAAGGGTCCAAAATTAAACTTAGTTTGATTTTAACAAAAATTGAATTCTTGGGGTTCTTTGATATGCTGAATCTAAACATGTGTTTAGATTTTTGATTATGGGCCCAGTTTTCAAGTTTGTCCAAGTTGGGGTCCAAAATTAAACTTTTTTTGATTTCAACAAAAATTGAATATATGGGGTTCTTTGATATGCTGAATCTAACCATGAATTTAGAATTTTTATTTGTGGGCCCCGCTATCAAATTGGTTTATATTGAGGTCAAAAGGGTCCAAAATTAAACTTTGTTTGATTTCATCAAAAATTGAATTATTGGGGTTCTTTGATATTCCAAATCTAACCGTGTATTTAGATTTTTAATTTTAAGTCCCGTTTTTTAAATTGGTCTACATTAAGGTCCAAAGGGTCCAAAATTAAACTTAGTTTGATTTTAGCAAAAATTGAATTCTTGGGGTTCTTTGATATGCTGAATCTAAACATGTGTTTAGATTTTTGATTATGGGCACAGTTTTCAAGTTTGTCCAAGTTGGGGTCCAAAATTAAACTTTGTTTGATTTTAACAAAAATTGAATATATAGGGTTCTTTGATATGCTGAATCTAACCATGTATTTTGATTTTGGACATTGGACCATAATAGGTAAATTAAAAAAATTCAAGTTCTTAGACCACATTCTTTCTGTGTCAGAAACCTATGCTGTGTCAAATATTTAATAACAATCCAAATTCAGAGCTGTATCAAGCTTGAATGTTGTGTCCATACTTGCCCCAACTGTTCAGGGTTCGACCTCTGCGGTCGTATCAAGCTGCGCCCCAGCGAAGCATTTTATTTATATTTAAGGTTAAGTTTTGGTGGTCAAGTCCATATCTCAGATACTATAAGCAATAGGTCTAGTATATTCGGGGTATGGAAGGACTGTAAGGTGTACATGACCGACTGGCAGGTGTCATCTGACCTTGACCTCATTTTCATGGTTCAGTGGTTATAGTTAAGTTTTTGTGTTTTGGTCTGTTTTTCTTATACTGTATGCAATAGGTCTACTATATTTGGTGTATGGAATGATTGTAAGGTGTACTTGTCTAGCTGGAAGGTGTCATCAGACCTTGACCTTATTTTCATGGCTCAGTAGTCGAAGTTAAATTTTTGAGTTTTGGTCTTTTTTTCTAATACTAAATGCAATAGGTCAACTATATTTGGTGTATGGAAACATTTTATGATGTACATGTCAGTCTCACAGGTTTTATTTGACCTTGACCTCATTTTCACGGTTCATTGCTCAGTGTTAAGTTTTTGTGTTTTGGTCTGTTTTTCTTAATCTATAAGCAATAGGTCAACTATATGTGTTGTATGGAAGGATTGTAAGCTGTACATGTCTGCCTGGCATGGTTCATCTGACCTTCACCTCATTTCCATGGTTCATTGGTCAATGTTTAGTTTTCTTGGTTAAGTCTGCTTCTTAGAAACTATAAGCAATAGGACAACTGTATTTAGTATATTGAATGATTGTAAGGTGTACATATATTTCTTGTCAGTTTTATATGACCTTGAATTCCTTTTCTTGGATCAGGTTGAGTTTGTGTGATAGTTTTAGTAAAGCTTTATATTTAGGACTATCAACATGATATCAATGATTAGTAAAGAAGGCGTAACATTTCAGCGTGTGCACTCTTGTTTATACATTATACACCACATTTACTGTTTTTACCCTGATTTTATGGATCACTGAACATAGAAATGTCATAATGTGAAATTATAGTACATTCTTAGGTTAAAGTTATAGGTTAAGGTACATAGCTTACCATAAAGTTGAATTTCATACACATGTTCATTATGTGGTGAATTTTTAAATTCAGTGCCAAACTAAGATTTTGAGCCTGATTACATGATTGACTAGACATTGACACATGCTAGTGTTTGCCAGGCATGGTGTCCTGTACTAGGAATTTGTCCTGTACTAAGAACTTTAATAGTACTCGCTGAGTATGGAGTTTTTGTGAAAGTTTAATGTTAGTGAGATTTTTGCATGACATCCTGTCAACTGCTTGTTGATCATGTTTATACATGTCTTAAAATTAATATCTGACACATTGGTGTTTTGTGAACTTGGAAATAAGATAGAATAATAATGTTTTGAGATTATCAAAATAAAAAATATATCATTTTTACTATTAATGATTAAGTATTAAAAAAAAGAAGATTTAGGATATATGTATAACCATATATAAAAATGAGACAGCAACCGAACAACACAAAAATAAGAAAAAAAAACCAATATAATTTTTTGTATCAATGTTATAATTTCCAACATGTCCAAAGAGTTCAATGTATTTTCTAATTGAAATAAAACACAAGTGGAACTCTTTCAGAACTTCAGAAGCTTAAAGAAGTGTTGTTTCTATTGTTGGCTTTCTGTATAATATATTGCAAATTCTTGTGAAAAATGGAATTTTATTGTAATTGCCTAAAGTTTTCACATTGATCTGTATATATTTATAACTGGAGAAAATACCCAAATGTTATAAAGAAGAATACATAAATTGATTGTTATATAATATTAGAATAGGAAGATGTGATATATTGCTAATTTGACAACTCTCCATCAGAGACCAAAGGATGTAGGAGGTTAGCAACTGATGACACTGGACAACCTTCAACAATCAGTAAAATCCATGTTATTGCTACATGTATGCAAACAATTTTTTATTATCCATAACTTTGGATTATATTGGTTCTTTTTCAGAAGGATTGAAATTCATCACTGAGAATAAAAGGAGAAAACACAGAAACAAGACCAAAATAAATTCAAAGACAAAAGTCAGATCAGTTATTATTTTCATCACTCAGTCAATGAATTGAAGTTCTATTAAATATCTAAAGATATTAAAACCACAATAATGACAATGTTCTGTGCTGAATGGCCAAAAAGTGGACTATACATTACGATCACACAATGCTGGATGATAAGAAACTATTAAGTTTTTTGGGTGGAGGGATATCCTGAAAAAAAAAATAGATTTATGTAAAAAGCTAGTAGTATGTTAAGCCTATTAATAGAGTTTTCATTGATTTCAAATGGGAAACAAATTGTGTTTCAAAAAAGTATTCTAGAATTCATAAATAAACATATATTGATACTTACATTATCTGCTTTGTTGTTTAAAAGTTTAGTTTTGAACGGTTATAGAACAATATAATTGCATTAACATTTCCAAGGAAAAAAAGATATTCAACTAAAAAGATTCATCTTAAAACAATTTACTACCAAACAGAATTCATTGTAACATACACATTTATTTACTGTATATTTGTAATTTGAATCCCATTTAGGATTTTATTTTGTCCCATGGGATATTAAAAATCCCATGGGATAATTATAGTCCCATGGGATTTTTTTTGTCCCATGGGATTTTTTTTGTCCCATGGGACAACAAATATCCCATGGGACTACAATTATCCCATGGGACCCCAAAAAATCCTATGGGATTTAACCAAAATCCCATGGGATAATGGTCAATCCCATGGGATTTGCCGTATCCCATGGGATATTGAAAATCCCATGTTTTTCTAAATCAAATTACAAAATAAATATAATAATAACAGCAGAAAAGCAATGAAATTATTGAATCCCATGTAATTCCGCACATTTTAGTTATATACACGACACTGTAGGTCTAAGGAGAGGCGGCGGCGGATTTGCAAATGAGTGTTTTGCAAATTAAAAGTGTCCAGTGTTATAGTTTTAGCTCACTCGCCAAAAAGTTCAAATTGTGGCTAGCGGCTGATATTTAACGATAGCAATGTGTAGAAAACCCGATAGTCTATACTTATTAGTCGACGACAATATCACAACGTCATGGCAAAAGTCGAAGAACGTCGTAAAGACAAACAAAATTCTGCAAAACACTACATAGAAAACTAAAGATCATCACGAACCTTACTGAAAACCGGGGGTTATCTCGGGTGCCCCCGGAAGGTGTAGCAGATTCTGCTCCACATTTGACACCTGAGTGTCGAACGTGAAAATGCAGATTTGGTGATACACACTGACTTTTGAGGAAGAACCGGCGACTGAAATAGACACGAAATAAGTTTTTAGGTCACCATCACGAATAATAATGTTCCCTTCAAGCTCTGCCGTGTCTCAACTCACTAGCAGCATCTTTTCGCGGTTGGAAATCTTTAGATACTAAGTATCAGATCAGATCTGAACATTTGATTTGTGTCCCATTCCTGTTTGTAACATGTTGATAGTTTTGATTCACATGGCACGTGATGCATGCTGGTGACGCAATCGATCTGAACTAAAATTTCGAAGTTCTTGGAATTTTTTGTTTTCAAAAATGAACATCGGTAAATTGCTGTTGCCTCTTATGTTTCTTAGAAACATACAGATTAAATAGCAGCCGGTTTAAGTCAAGAAATCGAAGTCACGGATATCACAGGTTGTGTTTTGTGTACTATGGTTTGTCTGTGGGTGTGTTTCTTTTATTGGTCATGGCATTGTCTGTTTATTTTTGACTTATGAGTTTAAATGTCACTCTGGTATCTTTCGTCTCTCTTTGAAATGGATTTATGTTTTTTCATATGCTTGCATATATTGTAATAAAAAAAGCTATAACAAAGGCAAGGGATAAAACACTATAAAACAATATATTCAAGTAAAGGCTTTGTAAGGCAAACTTTTCATACAACCACTATAAACCTTTACGGGGATTAAAACTGTATTCTTATTACAAAGACAAGTTTACAGAAACAAGTTTTTTACCACCAGCAGTGCGATATCAATGCTAACTCTAGTTCAGAAATTAAATCAATTATACAGACCAGACCGTAGGACAGAACGATCACGACAATCGGAAACATTCCACAGACTATAATCATGTGATCATAGCAAGTGTATACTGTCACCGGTGATACTGTCGATCAGAGATGGGGTTTTTTTCTTGACTTTTGTTGAGAGATATCTAGAGTTTCAAGCAGCAGAAAAAAACATTCTTTTCTGGACAGGGTTCATTTGACATTTGTCCTAGTTACTGTTACTGTTGTCAGAGACATATAATATATGTCTCTGCTGTTGTTTTATGTCCCCCAATTTTAGATTGATATGGCCAAAGTGTATTTTGCAAATACGAAATGTTTTTGAAATGTCCAATGATGCTGGATAAAAGCACGCTACATGTGGTACAAAAACATTTGACCACCACTCTATTCCAATGCACAACAGGTTAAATGTCCGAAGCTTAATATCATGTTGACAATATTATTATAGGATTTGTGGTTTAAGAAATTTGTCGTGTTCTTTAACCACTTTGGACCAATATTGATACTCGAGATTTGCTAAACCTTCCATGTACGAACATATGTATTCCAGCCAAAAGTCAGAACCTTGTAATAGCATTCCCATAATACAAAAGTCATTTGAGGTCTGAATAACTTATTACAGTTACTATGTTTAGGGCGATGTTAAACCATCCGGTATAGAAGTACATTTCTTATCTGGTGTCACTTAGTCTGGGATTGAATAACCGAAACTTTTTCAATATTAAAACGAATAAATGGCGGTTCTATCATTACAAATGTCTCTTTAAAGTTGTTAGTCTATTTTATAATAATTTACATTCCTATTAATACATTTTATTTCATGTTTTGAAATAATTTTTGTTGCCAGTTTTGCATGTACCGAATTCAACGTATATGCCCAAAACTCAAGTTTCCACTTTCATTGGGGTATAATAGATAGATATATTAACAAATACATATTTTTCATATTTTTCTTTACATTTTGTATAGTTTTGACGGCCTTTGTTCTTATTATTTGAAAAAGATACAGCTTTTTAAACTGAAAACCACCCCCCTTTTTGTAAAGTCGCATACGTTTACTCGGAATTCTCATTTAATGATGAGTTTCCTGTTTTTTTGATGAAAAATTGAATAAGAAAGAAGATTGATTCAAGATTTCAATCATTCTACTGCTAAAAGAGTATTTAAATTGGAATTAGATATTCAATTTTGTTTTTCCTTGAAAACGACATGTGACCTTTGATCTTGATTTCTAAAAAATCTGCACCATATTTTCTTTTGAAGACCAAAGTAATCTCAAAGTACACATATTTTCGAATCGAATGGTATATGATATAGCCGTGTACTATTTTTATACGACCGCAAAAATTAAAAATTTTTTGGTCGTATATTGGTATGACGTTGGCGTCGGCGTCGTCGTCGTCGTCGTCGTCGTCTGGCGTCGTCCGGCGTCGTCCGACGACACATTGGTTTTCGCACTCTAACTTTAGTTTAAGTGAATGGATCTCCATGAAATTTTACCATAAGGTTCAATACCACGAAAGAAAGGTTGGGATTGATTTTGGGGGTTATGGTACCAACAGTTAAGGAATTATCGGCCAAAAAGGGGCCAAAAATAAGCATTTTTGTAACTTCCAGACAATAACTTGTGTGTAAGTGTATGGATCTCTCTGACATTGTACCACAAGGTTCCATATCACAAAAGGAAGGCTGTAATTGATTTTGGGGGTAATTGCCTCAAAATTTTAGGAATTAGGGGCAAAAAACAAGCATTTTTCTAGTTTCATGACAATAACCTGTGTGTAAGTGTTTGGATATTTCTGAAATTGTACTACAAGGTTCCATATCACAAAGGGAAAGCTGGAATTGAGTTTGGGGGTAATTGCCCGAAACGTTTTGGAATTGGGGGCCAAAAAGGGGCCAAAAATAAGCATTTTTCTAGTTTCCAGACAATAACTTGTGTTCAAGTGTATGGATCTCTCTGAAAATGTACTGCAAGGTACCATACCACAAAGGGAAGGCTGGGATTGAGTTTGGGGGTGATGAATCATAAGGGGGTTCAAAAAATTTGGGGGGTGGGGGATTTTTTTTTTTTTTTTTTTTTTTTTTCCTTTTTTTTTCTTTTAAAATTTTCCATTTTAAGTTGGTTATTTCTGATTTATATTTAAAAGCAAATAATAATGATATGGTAGGAGATACACACCAAACAGGATGTGTAAATTATTATATAATAAGTATTGTGCAATAGCAAGAAATTTTCAATTGCACAGTATTGCACAATAGCAAGAAATCTTCAATTGCACAGTATTGCGCAATAGCAAGAAATCTTCAATTGCGCAATAGCAAGAAATATCCATTGGCACAATATTGCGCAATAGCAAGAAATTGTCAATTGTACAGTATTGCGCAATAGCAAGAAATATTCAATTGCACAGTATTGTGCAAAAGAAGATACTTCGTATAAATTGCTTACTCCTTGTTCAATTTCAATGGGGTTTTATTCTTGAATTCTTGGGGTTCTTTAATATGCTGAATCTAACCGTGTATTAAGTTTTTGGATTTTGGGCCCCGTTTTTAAATTGGTCCACATTGAGGTCCAAAGGGTCCAAAATTTAACTTTGTTTGATTTCATCAAAAATTGAATTATTGGGGTTCTTTGATATGCCGAATCTAACCGTGTATTTAGATTCTTAATTTTTGGTTCCGTTTTCAAATTGGTCTACATTAAGGTCCAAAGGGTCCAAAATTAAACTTAGTTTGATTTTAACAAAAACTGAATTTTTAGGGTTCTTTGATATGCTGAATCTAAACATGTATTTAGATTTTTGATTATGGGCCCAGTTTTCAAGTTGGTCCAAATCGGGGTCCAAAATTAAACTTTGTTTGATTTCAACAAAAATTGAATATATTGGGTTCTTCGATATGCTGAATCTAACCATGTATTTAGATTTTTTATTTTTTGAACCCCGTTATCAACTTTGTCCACATTGAGGTCAAAAGGGTCCAAAATTAAACTTTGTTTGATTTCATCAAAAATTGAATTCTTGGGGTTCTTTGATATGCTGAATCTAACCATGTATTTAGATTTTGGATATTGGACCATAATAGGTGAATGTCCAATTTAAAATTTTTAAGTTCTTAGACCTCATTCATTCTGTGTCAGAAACCTATGCTGTGTCAAATATTTAATCACAATCCAAATTCAGAGCTCTATCAAGCTTGAATGTTGTGTCCATACTTGCCCCAACTGTTCAGGGTTCGACCTCTGCGG